TTATTTATCATACTTACAGGTTGTGATTCAGTGGAGCCAGCTGGTCCAAATAAACAGGATACTGATCCATCTTTCAACAGCAAGCGTTTTGTGAATCCCGCGTTGAACTCCCCGAGATTAGAGAAGCAGTCGTCAGTAGAATGACGTGTTTGTGGGCGGGGTCAAGTTGTTCGTGGCCGGCCAACGTAGAACATGTGCGCATTATGCAAATGTGTTACCCCGTTACGTGTAGCCGCCACGGAAGTGGGATTTGAATTACTAACGACTCGTTTCAGACTCCGATTCTTTATTTTGGGAGACAATAACTTTATTTATCTTGCACTTTCAGCTTTACAACTTTGCAGGTCGTTTACATTCACATACAGCTACATTACACACTGCATGATAGGCAATATTGGAAATGGCATAATAGGGGCACTTTAAACATGTTATCTGTATTGTACTGCTTTTGACCTTCATTTCATACCCACTGTTTGCCCTGACTGCAGGACTGAAGGAGAAGTGTGTGGATGTTCTAGTGTTTGAGACACTCATCCCCAAGCCCATGATGCAGCATTACATCAGTCTGCTGCTCAAGCACCGGCGCTTGATCTTATCGGGCCCCAGCGGCACAGGGAAGACCTACCTCACCAACCGCCTTGCCGAGTACCTGGTGGAGCGCAGCGCTCGAGAGGTTACACCCGCCATCACCACCACCTTCAACATGCACCGCCAGTCCTGCAAGGTACACAGCAACCAAAACATATACACTATAATATTCATATTTATAAATGTTGTTTATGATCATCATGCTTAAGACAATTCATATTCAGTAATATTATTCAAAATTAATATTAAGATGATCGGATGAGAAACAAACTTGAACTGGACTGAGCTGGATAATCACACTTTGGTCTTCTGTAGAGCTTTTTTTACAGTTGAAATTAAAGTCATTTTACAATTGCTGAACTTTGATGACACTATTATTGAACTAAATTGAATCAACACTGAACTAAATTGAGATGCAAAATGACACTGTTGTCTTCTGTAGAGCTGAATTTTATGGCAATTTCTATTTTTAGGAGGATAGTAATATTTATACTATTATAAAGATAGCATTTTTAATTGAACACTGACACTATTGTTATAATGAATAAATGAATTGTTAGATGAATAATGACACTATTGTCTTCTGTACAGCTGCTTTACAACTGAAATTTAATTTGTTTCATAACTGATGTATTTTGCAAAATTGCCACTCTTTTTTTTCTTGTTTGTTACTGTGAATCTGCTTTGAAAAAAACTGTATTGTATGAAGTGCTATAGAAATAATTGTGACTACAGTTTACTTGACAATAACCTCTGTCTTTGTCTTTTTATCCCAACAGGACCTTCAGCTCTATCTGGCCGATCTGGCCAATCAGATCGATCGGGAGAGCAGCACAGCTGAGATCCCATTGGTTGTCATCTTGGATGATGTGCATGATGCAACATCCCTCAGTGAACTTGTTAATGGTGCTTTAACTTGTAAATATCATAAATGGTGAGTCTAGGAAAGTCTACACCAAAATGACAGATGGGTTTTCCAGTCATCTTAAAGGTGATAAGAGCTGTTTTGTTTCTCTTTTTCAGTCCATATATAATAGGGACTACCAATCAGCCAGTGAAGATGACTCCTAACCATGGCCTACACCTCAGCTTCAGGTGGGTGCTGCTGACACACTCAGTGAGGAACAGCTGGGACGTGTTGCTCCTCCTGATTGAGGATTATGTGCTTGTGTTCTGATTGTCACTTTGGGTGAGACTAACATGTGCTCGCCTTCACACTAGCTATATACTGCAAAAGGATGCCTAATTTTCATATTTTATAGTGTTAAAAAATGTGTATTTCATTATGCCTAATATGGCCTAACTCACTTTTTCAACAAATAATCACAAACCACAATTCTAAGCATAGATGTGCTTTAAGCATAGTTTCCTCTCTCGTGAAACTCCTCAGTCTCTTTTTTCAAACATAAAATATTAAATAATTTCACTATAAGTAAAAGTTGCTTGTCCATTTGGTCATTTATTTGACAAGTAGCCATGATAAGCAGGGTAATAGACAGTCAGCTGGTCATTATTGCAAAATAAAGCTCTTCAGGATAATGTAAGGCCTTGATCACTGTGTTGCGGTTTATTTTTACACAATGACTGGCTCACTGTACATGAATTTTTATGTTGTTTACACATACATTTATAATTCAATAGAGTTTAATGTTATCAAATCAAATGAGATATACACAAAATTACTGAAATTAATATTTATTTGTGAAATATTTACCTAAACTATTTAAATGTAATTTATTGCTGTGAATTTTCAGTATCTGTACTCCATTACTCTTCAGTGTCACATGATCTTTCAGAAATCATTCTGATATTCTGTTTTATTGCTTAAAGGGGTGATTGATCAGTTTTTTTCGAAAGCTTGATTGTGTTTATGGGGTGCAGTGTAACATGTGTTCATGCTTTGTTTAAAAAAAAACGCATTATTTTCACATATTTTACCTTTATTCTACACTAGTTTCCATTCTTATCAAAACGGTCTTTTGAGTTCCTGGTTCTATGAAGCCACTTCCTCAGAAATACGCAATGGGCTCTGATTGGTTAGCGGGCTCGGTGTGTTTGTGATTTGCTAACTGCCTAGTGCACGTTGTCCGGAAATGTCACGCCCCCTTACCATTATGGGTAGTTGCGTGTTCCCGGGGGCAGGGTTTGTGTAAATCCAGGAAGAAGCTCGTTGTAGTCCCTACCAGCTGTTTTTTGTAGGTCTTAAATAGTGAAAATATCTCCCTTTGCATTGAACTGAGTGTTGTAACTTTGCAGACGTTGTTTATGCTCTAACAGCAACATTACACACTAACTAAAGTTCAAAAAATGAAATCATAATCAACCACCCCTTTAAAAAACATTTCTTCTTTTTGTTGAAAACAGTTACTCTTTACTGTTTTTGTGGACATTCTTGTTTTTCAGGATTTTTTGATGAATAGAAAGTTCAAAAGAACAGCGTTTACTTAAAATGAATTTTTTTGTAGCAGTATAAATGTCTTTACTGTCACTTTTGAGCAATTTAATGTATCCTTGCTGAATAAAAGAAAAAAAAAACTGACCCCAAACTTTTGAACGGTACTATATTTCTCAATTTTCATATTTGTTTTATATATTTCCTCTATACAGGATGGTGATGTTTTCCAATAACGTCGAGCCCGCAAACGGGTTCCTGGTACGTTACCTGCACAGAAAACTAATGGAGGCCGAGGATCCCCGGAGCTTGAAGAATGAAGATCTGCTGCGGGTGCTGGACTGGGTTCCCAGACTCTGGTACCACCTCCACACCTTCCTGGAGAAACACGGCACCTCTGATTTCCTCATTGGTAATTGGCACATATATTGGATGAGAATGAGGAGGCATTTATTTCAATTACAAGCTTGATGTGCCTAATTAAGTGAGCATTTCATTGATGTGTGTCCAATCTGTGTTGCTGTAGGTCCCTGCTTCTTCCTGTCCTGTCCAGTTACGGTAGAGGAATTCCGCACGTGGTTTATAGATCTCTGGAATCTCTCAATCATCCCGTACCTGCAGGAAGGAGCCAAAGATGGCATTAAGGTGAGTCAAAGTAGCCTAAATGTAAAGAAAAAAATATTAATCCGTTTTGTGTGTCGGTCAGAATGCCACTTCCTATCTGTCCAAGTGGGCAGTTTTTAGGCTAAATGAGTGTGAATGTGTGCGTCTGCAGGTTCACGGGCAGAAGTCGGTGTGGGAGGATCCGGTGGAGTGGGTCAGAGGGTCTCTGCCCTGGCCGTCTGCTCAGCAAGACCAGGCCAAACTCTTTCACCTGCCTCCCCCGAGCACGGGCCCCGGCAGCCCCAGCCAGCCAGGAGACGATCGGCCACATAAGGAGACGCCACCCAGCTCCGTCGAGTCAGATCCACTGGTCAGTGTGTGGATTAGGGCTGTCAGCATTAATAAAAGAATTTATTTAAATCTATACATTTTCTGTATATATGTGTGTGTGTGTGTGTGTGTGTGTGTGTCTGTGCAATCTGAATACATATTTTTAAATCCTGTAAAGATAGATAGATAGATAGATAGATGTAAATACCCTGTAATCCTGTAAATGTAAATATGTATTGTGTGTGTGTGTGTGTGTGTGTGTATCAGATTTGAATACTTAACATGACTGCTTAGTTCATGTTTGCCAATTTTAATGGACCTTCCTAATTAAATTTTGATTTATGTTTGAGTTATATAAGTGACTTTTATATGGTGTTGGATGTAATGCATTACCAAGTAATTAATTACTGTAATTTAATTACTTTTCCCTTGAAAAAGTAAAGTAAGGGATTACTCATAATTTACTCATAATCTTTTTGTAATTTAATTAGTTACTTCTGATATGAAATGCATTAAATAATATATAGACTTTCGAACAATTCTATTTAAAACAATAGTGAATTTAACATCAAAATTTAATCCCTCAACCGCGGGGCCCGGTGCGACCGCACCAGTTTTTTTTTTTTAATGGCTTCCTCCATATCAGTGCACACTGCATGAGAAATATCTCATTTTCTCATTCCTGCGATCTCTGCTCTTTTCCCAGATGGCTATGCTGTTAAAACTACAAGAGGCTGCCAATCACATTGAATCACCGGAGAAAGAAACTGATCCAAAACTCCCTCTTCTCTGAACATCCGACTGACGTTCCCATCATCTCCTCCATCTCTCCTGCCGCCCATGTGGAGGTCCAAACTCCAACAGCTGCCCAACACCTGCAGATGACACCGTACTGTTACTATAAATGCTGTTAGAGCATTTCACCCACTCATTTATTATATTATCCATCCCACCTTTTTCATTTCAGTCAAATGTCCCTTACAGTAAAGTACTGTGGTGGTACCGTGGTTCAGTGATGCTATCAGATAGTAATACCGTGGTGCTTTCTCATATGGAGAGTTGACTTGCTCTGCAATATGACATGCTAAACGACCATTTTAAAAAGCATTTTGCTTTTTTAAAGTTATTATGCATGCAGCATGCATAATAATGAGCTCCTACAAATCGGAAGACTACATGGAGTATTTATACTATATGGAATATTTGTTCTAAAATCAGACCAGGACCTTTAAAATGATCTAGTGATGGCAAAAATAGTGGTTACAATGGTAGAAAATTTTCAGAAAGAAATGGAGACCCGTTACAGCACCTAAATCTACTATACACTTTTCCATATGCATTTATTTAATGCAGAATAGTTTCAATATTGGTGGTGATCCATAAAACTATCCATAAGCCATGGTGCTGAGTACATAATAAGGTATTGTCATGTTAGTGACCAAACCATGGTAATACCACCACAGCCGGTTTATCCATGGTAAATTTTTGTTTTTACCATGGTACTTTTATGTAAGGGCTTGCAAAAACAATTAACTAATTCTCCTAAAAAAAAAAACAATGACGAAAATTATCCTTTTATAGCACTTCTAACTGCATATTTCTGTTTATGGACACTTTAGTAAGTATGTAATTCTCTTTGTGGGAACCTTTACTGTTCCACTGCTGCCCGTATTAACAACTCAACGATGCAGGTGCTAAAATCACTAGTGTGCACACGTGACTTCATCTAGTGGCCATGAATAAGAGCCAACATGGGAGATATTGGGAAATATGTCTCACTTAATAATGTAACACTTACGCCTATGCTACAGGCCACTTTAGCCTATGCTGCTTTTTGTACGTTTTATTTCTTTCATGTTTGAATATAGCCACAGCATGAGCTAGTTTAACCCCAGAAACACTTATGCAGACTGCATTACAGCTTTTCTTCCTCTTTCTAACACAGTGAATGCCTTATAACAGATTCTAAGTGTGCTATCATGTTCCCTCCTCACTCTGTAGGGGGCAGGGTTGAGCAAAGATCAGAAATGAATAAGCACCTTGCAATTTTTGAGTGTGAATCTGAATTAGATTGGCAACAAACAGGATGTTGTATAGGATTTTGATTTAAAATGAAAGTGAGGGGAAATGACTGAATTGCAGTTCAGTCATGCAGTCTTTGAATTTCATTCCATTTTAATTCTAATTCCTTACATTTAAATTGAAAGTATGGTTCTGCATGCTGTTTCAAAAGGTGCTTGACCCTGATAAGGGGAAGCGTTCTCAAAACTGAAGCTTGTGTTCCCTCAAAAGTTCCCACAGTTCACAAAAGCACCTCAGTAACTCGCTGTAAAAAACGGCGGACCAAACAGACCATTTTGTGCACTTTAATTTACTGTAATGATACTGTAGAGATGTTTTACTTGGCTTTGACACTGATCTCAGCTCAGGGGTTTGGTTATCTCAGGCCTCTAATTAGATTCAATACAGCTACTTTCTCAGTTACTGCTCTCTTTGTAGCCAATGGTACAAATGTAGAAAACCAAATACTCAGTGCTTTATTCAGTACGAGGCTTTATTTGAAGAGACGTTCACCCCAATAAAGTGCACACGGAAGTGAAGGCAAAGATCATATTTGATTATTTGGTGCTATCCAGTATCACTATTGGAAAACATCACTTGGTTTAGCAAAAATCTCACTTGACATCCAATAGCCTTAGTCTTGTGGCATTTAAGGGCATCTTTAGGTACAACCAAGTGATCATTTTATTTATACGATCCTTATAGTGATAGTTTTAGAGCATTACGTTTCTTTAGACGTAGTTTAATCGTCGCACTAAAAATCCACTACTTATGTCTAAGTAAATCAGCCTCCTTTTTAATGGTAATCCAAAAACATATCAAACCGTAAAGCATTTCTCTGAAGCTTTCGAGTAATATCAAAGTCAGCAGTTCTGTTGAGTGTTAACGAGAGTAGTGTACACTACATCCAGACGTCCTCAATGCTCACAGAAAGCAGTGGTGGACCAGTAATTTCCCATCTCTGTACCTGAAACTAGTCTCCAAACATGCATGTAGGTACGATCTGGGCTACTGAAGTTAAAATATAACTCCAATCATTCCATTCCTTTCTATTCATCTATACTGCATTATCATTACTCTACAGTGTAAACATGATTTCCGTAGTTCCTTCTCCAAGAAATGAGGGATTGTGGAGTTTTTTAGCCAAATAGGGAGACTTGTAATGTTCAAGATGGCGAAATGATTTTGTTTTTTTAGCCTCCTTCGGTTGCGCTGCTGCTGCTTCAAGTCTAATATGTGACATTTATATTTGACTACATTCCAGACATAAGACAGTGTGTCAGTGGCTTTGGTTGCTTTTCTGCTGAAGCCCATTTGCAGTTTAATTCTCGCTACTGCAACAAAATATTATGTTTCATAACCGCGGCATGTTGGTGATTTACCACTGATATTGAATCTGGATCAGCGAATAAAGCTAATCATTGAGGGAATAAATCTAATTCTGTTGTAACGCGAGCAGGTAGAGATGAATTTGCGGAGCGTTTTCATCAGCAGCAGGCTATTCTTGTTTTAAAAAGACGTTTATTCGTGTGACTAAAGCCGCTGTACACTGTCTGCATCATGTTTCTGGTTATTGTGCCTGTAACCGTGTGATAGCTGTGCTGTGTTGTGCAAAGTCCCATTTAACACGACAATTCAGCAACTTTTTACTGTCTACTTTGTCTGTCCTGGAATTGTAATGACAGCACATGGATGGTGACTGGTAAAACTGGATTTTTACATTGATTTCACTGTCTGTCGCTCATAAGCTTTGGTTTGTGTCTGCTTCTGTTGCTGTTTTCACTCTTTCATGCACCTTTTTATGTGGACTATATTATTGCAATAATTTGTCATGTATGTTAAACAGAGTCAGGAACTCCATGGGATAAAGACTTTGGGTGATTGTATGCCTTGATGGGGCTGCCTTAAGGTCAGGGTCAAGCTTGGGCAACTCGTGAATGAACCTATGGATCTTTAATATCAGGTGGTTTGGTTTTATGTAAAGTGTTTCAAAGAGGACCAATGAAAAATATAAAGCTGTTACAGATACAAAGTGGTAAGAAGTTGCTGAATAGTCCCTTCACTTCATGCAATGCTTGATATTGATTCAAAAGTCCAATACTATTGCATAAAAGGTAATATTAAGTAAAAATGTGCAATGGGTTTATAAATGTCGTAAACGCATGTCACCTTAGTGTGAAGCAGAATTACGGATGTGTTCTACCTAATTTGGGGTTGTATAAAAGAATGATATTACTTTCTTTTTATCGTAATGTTCCCCCAAATGATTGTTTGTACAACTCCAGTTCCATTTTGTACAGAACATTATAAATGTAAACATTGTACATAGCGTGGCCCTGCATTTGCAACAACAATCATATAAGAAAAAAACATAATGTCATTAAGAAATGTGGTTTGTAAGGAAGACTTGTGCTTTTGTTACCGATGGAATGGCCCGGTACAAGAAAACTGCCATGCTTAGGATGATTGTAACATGACCACCAAGACGTTGTCCATCTGTCATAATAAAACCACAACGTTCGTTAAGTGTGTTCTTTGTCGTGTCTTATGTTTTCACATGCTGAAGTTAAAGTACACAGAGTAAAGATATCTAATGCATTTTTAATTGCTCAGAGTTAAATCTATCAAATAATTTGATTAAGTTTAGCATTCTTGGAAAGTCATGGGGACACACAAATGCCAATGTTTACAGACGGGTGCGAAGACAGACAGACTAGATAGACAGAAACACCATTATAGAATTAAGTAATTAATTCAAGTAGACCTGGCTGCTTAATAGGGATAGTCCATCCAAAATTGAAAATTTTGTCATCATTTACTCACCTTCAAGTTGTTCAAACCTGTATGAGTTTCCTACAATTTAAATCATTTAAATGCTGTTGAAGTCTTACTTTTGTAATTTGTGGTGTTAACCCTGATAGCACACGTACATCACTGAGACGTCTATTTGACTGCAAGAGTGAGTTTGCTCGTCTGCAATCCGTCTATAGGACGTTTCCTATCAGATGTCAAATAGACGTTTTGAAAATGTCTTTAAGATGTTTATGATTTAGAATGTATGTAAAACTGACATCTTACAGACGTCTATCAGATGTTTGTACACAGCAGATGCTTTCCAGATGAAGCGATCTTTAACAGACGTCTTGCAGACATACTAAGAAATCGGTTTAGTATGTACTTAAAACGCCCCTCCCCCAGACCCTCAGTACTCTGGTTATCCGGCAGCCATATCACCCTGTAGCCCAAGACTGGTTACCCACTGAAGCTAAGCAGGGCTGAGCCTGGTCAGTACCTGGATGAGAGACCTCCTGGGAAAAACTAGGTTGCTGCAGGAAGAGGTGTTAGTGAGGCCAGCAGGGGGTGCTCACCCTGTGGTCTGTGTGGGTCCTAACGCCCCAGTATAGTGACGGGGACACTATACTGTCAACAAGCACCGTCCTTCAGATGAGACGTTAAACCGAGGTCCTGACTCTCTGTGGTCATTAAAAATCCCAGGATGTCTTTCGAAAAGAGTCGAGGTGTGACCTCAGCATCCTGGCCAAATTTGCCCATTGGTCTCTGACCATCATGGCCTCCTAACAATCCCCATATCTACTGATTGACTTCATCACTCTGTCTCCTCTCCACCAATAAGTGGATGCTGCACACTGGTGGTGGATGAGGAGATACCCCCTGACAATGTAAAGCGTTTTGAGTGCCTAGAAAAGCGCTATATAAATGTAATTATTTTTTATTTTTTTTTATTATTACTCGCACGCTTCTTATCGGCAGTGACACTCGACTGTGAGTGTATATATACAGCTGAAGTCACCGTGATGCTGAGAGCTCCGCTCGCTCCCTCACTAGTCACTTGAAACTCTCGAGGGGAGGAGTTGGCCAGCGCCACATGCCTTAGGCTATAAATCTGGGTTGACTAACCTTCAGACTGAGCCGAAGGACTTACTAGGTCTGAGGGATCCTTGAAGCGGACAAGCATGCCGGCAAAACCAGCCCCGATAAAGAAGTCGGCTAGCGGAGGCCGCCCCAGCTGAAGGAGCCCCGGCGGAGGCACCTCCCGCTGAAGCCCCACCTGCTGAAGCCCCACCAGCCGAACCAGCTGCAGGTACTGAGTGTGTGTGGAGACCCACAACCTACTCATGGATCTTAAAAAGGATACTTTTTAAGGGGAGGGGAGATTGATGAATCTCTCTTAGAAAGAACTGTACATTGCTTTTCTTGTTCTAAGAGGCAAATCAATCATATTTACTCCAAAATTGTAATACTAATTTGCATAAATACTAATGAGAATCCAGTCACGAGTCATAATTGAGTACTGCAAATACTGCTATGAAGTACATTCAAGTACTACTTTACGATATAAATAATAAATCGTTATTTTTAGCACCGTGATGGGAACATTAATGTGTAGTAAGAATTAGAATAAAAAAATGCTTAATTGTCATGTTACCATGCAAAGAAAAAAACTTAATGGTTCTAAAAATAGTGTCATTTTCTTTATGCAAAAGTTTCTTTTATCTTACAATGATTTTTTGGTGAAATATGATGACCCTGCTTCTGTAAGATCCATTCTATCATTTGCAATAATAAATGCAAACAAACAGACACTATTAACACATGCATGTTATGTCATTTAACAATTACCTCTTAATGCATGAGAACTCAGTGCACATTGCTACTGGAGCCAAGAACTTTTGATAGCTACTTGGAAAACGTCTGACTGCAGCTGGTGGTTTAAAAAAACACCAGTGAGCCTTGACACCTGTTAACCTCTCCTCGCCTCCACACTCCACTGATCAAACCAGCTGTTCGCCCTGACCAACTCGACACCTATTCTGCTGCTTTTGCTCTACTGTAAGTGTGTTTGATATCAGTGACAGCAGTGCAGAATAACATGCAAAAATAAAAATTAGTGCCTGCAGAGCATAAATTTTAAGATGAGCTTCTACGGAAGCCCAATTACTTAATCTTTCACTGTAATGTGTGATCATTCGCATGATAATCTGTTCTGCTCTTTAACAATAGCAAAGCATGCTTTTCACCACCTGTGCAATTATTATTTTAACACCAGCTATATCCACTGAGGCCTTATAAGCCAGAGGTATTTAGAGCTTGTGGCAAACGCAGACAACTCTATTTACAGCCCCACAGAGACCTTTAACACAATGCATGAAGAAAATAATAAATATTTAACTGTGATGTTTTAATTAGTGAGTGCAGTCACAAGGTACAGTAAGTGTATGATTAAGGGGAATTCTTCAGTGATTGTTGGTTTTAGAAATAGTCTTTATATTAAATGAAATAATGATAGCATAAACAATATCAGACGTGCACAAAAAATGGATGCATATAAATTATATTCATTATTTTGTGTACAGCTTATATGCTATCATTAAATAATTTCATTTCTTATTGTTTTAACAAGGTTAAATATACTAAAATTAACTTGAAACAGATAATGTGCACTATTCATCCAGTCGGACTCCATTATCTGTGGATGCCAAAAATCTCAAAATGACCAAATATTGTTTGACGTATCGGTCTGTACTTGTTTCTGTTTTTAAAAACATATTCTGTGCATGCAAGTCAAGCCTAAATTATTTGGTCCATTCTAACATTTTACTAACATTTAAACATGATTTGCTGGCCACATCGCATAAGAAGCCATTGCAAATGCTGCTGAGGCCCCGCTAATGGTAATAGCAGTGCTAAGCCAATGGTAAACAGCTACTGTAAAATTATTTGACACACTGCATTTGCACAGTATTGAAAAAGTCAGTCAACATGAAAGACAATGTTCGCAACCCATTTTACTTACCCAATGTGGCATGAAAAAAGCACATTCAATTACAAAACAATGTACGAACCTGATTTCAGTGTGTCAGTATTGATTTCATGTCGACTTTCTAATCTAATCAATGCTGCAAAGACAAATTTTGAAAGTTATGTTTGCTGAGATCATATCTTGGATTATGCCAAAACCTGACCTGAGCTATTATTCCATAATTTTTGATTAAACAAATGCCTGGAGCTCTATTATGTGCCGCTTTTATTAATGTGCCCTGCTTATTTAACACCAGCTGATGCTGAAGCTCCACCTGCTGAGGAAATCAAAGCACCTACACCTCCTCCACCTGCAGGTAAACCCACGGGGAGTCAAAACCGCTTCAGATCACCTACGTGGTGTCATTTCCAATTGAAACATTAGTGCCGGATTTTAGTTTGAAATATTAAATGTGTGTTTTTGTCTCCAGAGCCCACCAGTGAGCCTCTCGAGCTCGGCGTTGAGGATGTCAATGACACTTCCGTCACTATCTCATGGAGACCACCAGCCACCATTGGAAACTCTGGTCTGGATGGATACACTGTGGAAATCTGCAAGGAAGGAAGTGAGTCTGATGTGAATTTAGACATCAAAGCACATCCAAATCCAATCGTGCATAACATGTTGCCAATAAAAATGCCCTTTTGTTCTAGATTTTTAGATCAAAAGCGCTGCCTGTTTATGCATCGTTTGACTGGACGGCAAGGCAGCTGCTTTCAGTTTCAAACACTGGGGTAATAAAGCCCTCAATGAGGATTAGGCCTAAAATCTAAAGCCTTTTCATTTCATTATGGTGGCCCGCTGAGCACTTGCATTCATTTGCATCTTGAAATGCACCTCACAATACCGTACCTTAAATTAAACGCAGCGAAATGTTCATTAGAATTTTATTGGCTGGTCAAAGCTCTGTTGCACCTGTCCCCAATATGTCAACAGCAACATGTACACCCACCTCAGTTGTGTCCCTATATGGAGTGAGGCATTTCTAGAAGTGCCACGCAGAAGAACTGGGCTGGTGCGCACATATCAGTCGCACACGTAAATACAGTCAAACTTGCTGATACAGCCATTAAAAATGCAAATACTCTCTGAAAAAAAAAAGTAATATCCACTCACATATCGATTTGTTCCGGAAAACACTGTGGAAAACATAAACTGAGACATTTCAAAATTTGTTTATTAATTTAAAAAAATACTTTATTTAAATATCACCTTTCCAAAAGCTTACAGCTACAATTAATGTGAACTTATTTAGAAATCCATTTTTATGATTATTAATGGAATGCAATAAAATTATTCAAATGTATTAATATTTTGTGTATTATTTAAATAATTTGTGCATTTCAAAATGTGTATTTTTTATTACTTTTAAATAATATTTTATATCAATTTTTAAATAATATTTTATTCATTTTATTTAAAAATTGCTATTCTGAAAGCTTTAAAACAAAGTACACAGTTAATCAACAATCAATTTTTATGATTGTTAATGGGATGCAAATCTTAGATAAACACCTCAGATTTTTATTTTTTGTCATTTTTATTATTATTATTATTTAAATTAACATTTTTAAAATAATAATACTTTAATAATATTTCATGTTCAGTTAACACTGCAGATTTTATTTTTTTTTATTTTTTTTAAATGCAACAGTTAAAAGTATTACTATAATTAAGTATTATTTAAATATCGCCTTTCAAAAGCTTTGCAATCAATGTACAATTAATCAACAATTTGCAAATTGCAAATCACATTTGGATGTTCTTGCGTCTAATTTAGAATTTTTCCATCCTAGCTAATGACTGGAAAGCTGCTAACGAGGAGCTGACTGTGTCCTGCCGTTACGTCATTAAGAACCAGACCACCGGTGACCGCCTGAACATCAGGGTGGTGGCCATGAACCCTGGCGGCCGCAGCCCTCCTGCCACCCTGGCCGACGCTGTCCTGGTCAGAGAGGTTGTGGGTAAGTCAACATTTTACAGCCCCTACCTTTTTTGGAAAATAATCATAACTTTGTTTTCCAGTTTCATCTTGCTTGGCCACAATGCAAAGAAAAAAGTGCAACTGGTGACATTAAACAATGACCGAGCAAAAACCACACGCTTTATGCATTGCTAAGGTAGACACCAAATGACTCTGGTGCCATTAAATTATTGTTTGTGAGCCAGGCTGAATTTTCAGATCGGTCTTTCCCCCCTGCATCGAAGCCAGTTTTCCTTAGACAGAACTACTGTAAATGTTGGAACATAGAGTTAACCAGCTATTGCTGCTCTAAAGATCGGGGGCCACCTCTCGAATCTCAAGTATCCCAGACCTCAGAGCTATCTCGAGAGGTGAAATTGGTACCACGTCAACCCCACTGCTCATGCTGTGTTACAGGGCCCCCTAATTGGCTCTGAGAGGTTGCCAGTTGTGAAAAAATAAATCTAAATACATCTACCTGACAAGCATGAAGCGGTGTTGCCTTACAAACCTGCGCAGATCAGACAGCAACGTCAAAAACACGAGAAAAAAAATATTTTTGCAAGAAAGAAATCTGCTGTTGCATGGCTTTAGACATGTTTTTAATTGTGCTTTTTTATATTGGTTTTAGTACAAATTAAATTTAACAATCCCTTGACCCTCACCAACAAATTATTGGGATTATATCCATGTTGACTATCATTTTTTTAAGATAATTAAAAAGTAGTATAAACACTTAAACTCTCACCTATGTACATACACACACACTCACACAAATAAAAAAGGAAATTATTAAAATAAATAAAAATACATAAAAAATAAATACTACTAATAATAATTCAGCCACATTATCACAGTCATTATGTAAACTAGTTTTCATGCACGAATGCTTGCAGTCCCTTTACATATTCCTCAAGTGTCCGGCATCTAAAGAAAGAAATCATAAATATAGAATGGAAAGTCAAGCGGGATTGGAATGTAACTTGAATCGGGTCTACGCAAAAGAGGGGGAGGGAAATTTTGGCTGATCTCTGATTAAAGGTCTTCTTTCTACGTTCCCTCCAATGCACTGAGGCATGTCATGAATTGTCATTTCCAATAAGAAAAATCTCTGTTGCACATCCTTGGAAAATAGTTAGTTGGTGTGCATTAACAAGGATTACATGGAGAAGGTTTTACATGGCTTCAAAGCCATTGACAGCTAGCCGCCTGGACCAGTGTCAAGCTACTTCCTTTAAGAGCGATGGCGACAAGTGTGAATGGGTCGAGTCGGAGGGTGGGATGCATTTCCCAAATGTTCTTGCACTGCATAAGGAGTCAAGTAGCATCTAAGGTTACCCCATGAGACTTTTTAGCTCACTAGAAATGCTATGTTTATTTAGAGGCATGCTGTAGCTAGTAAGAGTTAGCATCCGGCTAATGCTTCAAAGAGTTTTCCAGAGATCAATTCACCTTTTTATATGCATTGCATTGCTGATTAAAATGCAGAATGAAATGCAAAGTTTTTAATTCCATTTATGTACTAAAAAAAGATTTCCTATTTTGTAGCATTGACTAGCATCCATTAGAAATTAATGTTAAACTGGGATTCTAAGATGCAGCCTTTGGAATTATTTGTAATTCAGCAGTTTTAATGTAAACTGTAAGCCCTCCATCATAAGTTATTAGTGGCAGGGGTGTAAGAGGACTGATCTATTTAAAGCCGAGATGAGTCCAACAGAGCCACTGTTAGCATGTTGGCTAGTTCGAGTTGTATTAGTGTAAATTTCCTTCTGTTTTCAACTTCTGTGCTTCTGCATATGGTTTTGCAAAAGTTTTTGGTAGTTTTTTTTTTTTTTGCTGTATACTGTTAACCAACATAAGATGAGACAGGCTGACTGAAGCTCAGGATGAAATTACAGTTAGCTTGCGCTCTGGACAGAAGTCAGTTTTCTGGTTCGATAAATAGTGCTATCCCAGCTAACAAGGAACATTCTCAGAGCTAACATTCTGGTAAGGTTCTCTCAAAGTTATGAACAAACATTCTTCCAGTAACGTTAACAGAACATTTGTTCAATGTTATCCTGTTTTGAATAATGTTCTCAAAACGTTATCCCAAAAACTTTATTTATACATCTTTCATGGAACGTTTATTTCTGAATCATTTTAGTTGGATGTTCGTTTAACATTTTTTTAAACGTTGCTACTTGTTTCAGAATGTTCAGAGAACATTTAAGAGTAACATTCTCAAATGTTTTTAAAACTTTTTAAAAACCTGGACATTTTGAAAATTCAGAGAATATTCAGAAATAACGTTTATATAACTTAACGGGAATGTTACAAAACTATTCTTAGAACATATTTTTGATAACTGGGATGAATTCATTGAACCTTCTCTCAAGACTAGGATTTCTCTCGATGACTGACATCTCAGTGAATATATAACCCTGATCACAGTGCTTAAAAGCATACTGTACAATGTAATCATATTATGTACCATTTTTTTTCTCCCTACAGATCGCCCCAAAATCCATCTGCCACGTTTCCTGAGGCAGCGCTACGTGAAAAATGTTGGAGAGAAGATCAACCTTCTTATTCCCTACAGTGTATGTAATCTCTTGACAATGCATGATTATAGCCAAACTCTTTTAAATGCAGGTAAACTCCTGCTTGCTTATTCATAGAACTGAAAAAAAAAATGGCTACATTGTTTTTGACAGAAGTGTTTTTGGGCTAAATTCAGAATAAAAATACTCACATTTGGAATAATACAGTAATACTAACATGCTACTCTTATTCAATAGTGTGCTGTTCCAAAATTTTCCTACTAAAACAGGAAGCTGCACTGGATATTAATGTATATTTAGAAAGAGTACTTATTACTCATTACAGAAATAATACGGTTTAAAAGAATGTACTTAAATGCGAATTGAATGTAATGTTCTTGGCCACTTAACTTTAAATTGAAAGTGCATGAGAAAAGATTATAAAACAATGGTTTAAAGTTTGAAAGATTTAAAGTAAAACTTTTAATTTGGCATTATTACAAAGTGTACCTTTTAAAGATGTGCTTAAGTGTGTTAAGAAAAAGTCAGGAAAGTGTTTTCTCTTTAAGAATAATTAAGTAGACTTTTCATTAATATTAAATAATCTGCAAGTACATTTTTTTCAAAATGTCCTTTTACGATTTAAAAATATATTTTAAGTACACTATAAGTGCACATTGAAAGCAATTAATCGCACTTCTTTTTCAAAAGGAAAGGACTTAATTGGACAAAAATATCTGCAGGAAGAATAAGACAATCAGTCAATTCTAAGTGTTTTCAATGAATCTGGTAAAAGTTGATTTTGTTAATTAATTTGCAGCTATACCTGTCTTATTTTCTTACCTGCAGGGCAAACCACAACCTATTGTGTCATGGACAAAGGATGGCCAGCCTCTGGATACTAAAAAGGTTAACATCCGCAACAGCGACAAGGACAGCATCATCTTCATCCGTGCCGCCGAGAGAGCTGACTCCGGCGTGTATGAGATGTGTGTGAAAGTGGACAGCTTTGAGGACAAAGCCCAGTTGACTCTGCAGATTGTTGGTAAGTGTTCGTACACATCGTGGAACCTGGTTTATATCGTTTTTTTTTTGTTTTTTTTAACAATTGTCTTGTTGACCTGATCACCAGAGTTGCCTGGACCTCCAGCCAGCGTCAAGATCGTGGACAGCTGGGGTTTCAATGTTGCTCTGGAATGGACCGAACCCAAGGATAATGGAAACACAACAATCACTGGATACAGCATCCAAAAGGCTGACAAAAAAACAGGGGTAGAAGCTCTTTCAAAAATTACGACATTTACAAAAAAAAATACTATGAAATCACTGTGATTTTTCGAACATGGTACCATTGTCATAGCATTTCTTTGGACATTTACCATGACAGTGCCGTGGTTGTTTGGATGTGGTATTCTTGGCATTCATGGTATTCTCGAAAGTGCCTGTAAATGCCATGGTGTATTGGAGCTTAAGTATTTCTTGGTGTTAAAATACTTTTTATTATCCAAGCTCAACATGCAGAAACAATTATAACTGCCTTTCTTAGTTTCATTCTCTCACATTTGAATTTTTTGGAGCGACCCATCTAGTCCTCCAGAACAACACTGCTGTGACCAGTGGCGTGAGTTGAAGGCGGGACTATGTGTTTATCGTATCAATGGCTGACGGAGGCGGGGCATGTTTGTAAAACTCTTTTGAAAACTATGTTTATTCATGCTGTTCCTTTCGGTGGCACTAGTCAGCCAAATTATCTAATTAATTATGTGTCTGGAGTTTACTGAGCTGTGCTGCTGTCTCCCCACAGGACTGGTTCACAGTACTGGAGCATTATCACAGGATGAATGCCACTGTTTCAGACCTGATCATGGGTAACACCTACATCTTCAGGGTCTTCACTGAGAACAAGTGTGGAATCAGTGAAGAAGCCACTGCTACAAAGACCTCAGCCACCATCCAGAAGACAGGTGAACCAGCTTTTCTGCATATGTATATATGGGCTTTTTTCTACTGGCGCAGTCGGACCAGTGGTTCAAATTTTTACTTGGTTTGCCAATTTTCACTGGCCCTACCACAAAAATATTAATAGTTGTTATCGTTGTTTTTGACCCATGTTATCTTGTATTCTAATAAATAAGCTTATGTGATGCCAACATTTTAGATACCAGTTAAATTTTACAGTTCTCGATTCCAATTTTAATATCACCACAAAAGCTACTAGCCAGCCACAAATAAATAAATAGAACTAAGATACAAATTAAAGATGCTTTAGGTTTTTAGATTTGTAGGTGTTCAAGTACAGATACTGAATAATCAATTGTAAAAAAACATTCATGCATATTCTTCACTGTGTGAATTAAATATAGATTAATCATTGTTAAAGCTATTCAGTCACGAGCAGTGAGTGATTTTCTTTTCTTTTTATTCTTTTTATTTTTTTGTATTAACAATAAGGACTGACAGCAGTTGGTAAAGCAAAGTGGGAGGGAGAGAGGGGGCGGGATCAGGAAAGATCCACGAAATCAGGATGCCTGTAGCGCAACGGTGCTTTATGTTGGCATGTTTCCCGCAAGGCTATCGGAGCCGATGGGCACGGTCACTTTAAATGCAATTCATGGGTCTAATATATTGATACACATCCGATTTCTTTCTCAACTGTTTAAGTTCGCTTAAGACATAACTGACTGTTTTCAAGGATACTTGCCAAGATGGGTATTTTGACATACTTTTGCATGTATTTGTCCGTTCAAGCACAAGACGATGCGTGCTGTGCGCACAGAACACACTGAATGGAGTTATTTGCGTCGTCTTGTGCTTGAATGTGTTAAAATCGCTTTAATGTTCAAATTGCCAAGGAGTATGCATTTGGCGGACGGTTTTATCCCATGTGGCTTGCATTCAGTTTACAAATAGTTACGCATTGTTGGCGTCATGCCGGTACGAGACTCGAACCCGCAACCTTGGGTTACGAGTCCGACTCTCTAACCATTAGGCCACGACTTCCCCCAGTCATGCTCTACTGTTTGAGCTGCAGGAATGCATTTGCCTACTGAGAGAGTCTTACAGGGTTTTTCAGTCATCCAGCGGTTATTCTTCTTATTCTTACTTCACTGATCTTCATGATGTGTTTTTAGGCATTGAATACAAGCCTCCAGAGTACAAGGAACACGACTTCAGCCAGGCACCCAAATTCACCACCACCTTGGCAGACCGCTGCACTACTGTTGGCTATAACGCCAAGCTGCTTTGCTCCGTTAGGGGATTCCCTAAGGTACACAGTTTCTCATGCACCCATAAGCAGGACCAGTGTTCTGGAGATTCTCAAAGTTCTGAACAAAACATTCTTCCAGTAATGTTAATAGAACGTTCATTCAGAGTTATCTGGTCTTTAATAACATTCTCAGAATGTTAGCACATAAACATTATTTCTACATTGTTTATGGAATGTGTTTCTGAAATATTCTAGTTGGATGTTTGTCTAACATTTTTTAATGTTACTACATATGGTTCAAAGAACATTCAAAAGTAGCATTGCTGTAATGTTTGCAAAATTATAAAATAAAACATTCCCTTAATGTTGTCTCTAACATTCACATAAACAAACAAAAAAAACATTTAAAAAAAATGGATATTTTGAACATTCAGCGAACATTCGGAAATAATGTTTTCATAACTTAATGAGAACGTTAGCAAAATGCTCTTAGAATGTATTTTTGTTAGCTGGGTAGTTGCTATAGCAATTAGTGGTGATTTTCAGAGTAAAGTGTCCATCGAATATTGGCGGAAATCTAAAATAAGTGATTAAAGTAGAAGGCTAATGGTTATTTTATTTGATCTAAATGAATTGATCTTCAATGCACATGCTTAACATGCTGCAGATGTCCCATTTTGTGCATGTATACATTTTTACAATTAGATGGTTATTTTTTAAGCTGCATGCAACTGGTAAAGTTTAATACCCTTGTTTTAGTACACTGGTGGATTGATAGGTTAGTCTGCGGTTGTCCCTGACAAATTAATTAGTGTTTACACTATAAATGCAATGTAGCAATGTTATTTGAGAGATCTTGGAAAACGGCAGCTGGAGCTTTTCAGTGCGGTCGACTTTGGATCTGATCACCGGAATCCCGCCAGGTATAAATGACCTCTGACTGCTGTATCTTTTGATCATTATGAGCAGACCAGCCTCATGCAATTCACTAATGTGTTAAATTATTGTAAAGATGGTGCTGGTGGGTATTTTGTAATGAAGTCTGTCCTATAATCATCACTTAATCCATCAAGAGCTGTTCAGCAGTTTAATAGGAATCCGCCACCAGAGATAGTGCAGCTTCTAGAGGGGAATGATAACTTGACGGGGGACAGCGTGAGCTGGATAAGTGGGATTCCTACATCACTATGACAGGATGAGCTTCCAAACACCGATATGAGGAGGCCATGACACTGGGATCAGACAGACACATGAGTGAAAGTGTCCAAAATTAATGTTCACCAAGCACCAAATGCAAGTCAAAATGGCTTTGGTGGGTTTATAAGGAAATGTGACATAATGCATGTTATATTGTTGTGTATCTTTTAGCTCAATGGAAAGTGTACCATTAGAAGTTTATCTGGTATGCCTAGTTTTTATTATCAGATATCACATATATGAAATATTTTCACATTAAGCCACCAAAACAAAATTGTTCCCAATTCTCTTCCACTCTTAAAAATGTGAAAATGTTCCAAAAGGGTTTTTTTTTCTGCAGCAATGCCATAAAACCACAATTTTTGGTTCTCTAAAGAACCTTTCAGAGAACAGTTCTTAAAACAACAGTTTTTTTTTCTTATGTATTTTAACAATCAAATGTGAAAGTGACGTGACATGTGGCCAAGTATGGTAACCCATACTCAGAATTAGTGCTCTGCATTTATCCCATCCTAAGTGCACACACACACACACCATGAACACACACCCGGAGCAGTTGGCAGCCATTTGTTTTTTTGCTGCAGCGCCTGGGGAGCAGTTGGGGGTTCGGTGCCTTGCTCAAGGGTACCTCAGTCATGGTATTGAAGGTGGGAGAGAGCACTGTACATTCACTCCCCTGCTGGCACGAGACTCGAACCCGCAACTTTTGGGTTACGAGTCCGACGCTCTAACCATTAGGCCACGACTTCCCTGTTTCCACCATAAAGAACTTTTTGTAAAATGAAAATGTTCTAAGGATGTTAAAGGTTCGTCATGGAACCATATATGGCAAAAAGGAACCTTTATTTTTTAAGTGTGCCATTTGGCCGGTGTGGGTAAAAGTTTATTTTTGTGAAATGGCTCTTTGCAGTTTCTTCGTCCATCTTTTCACCAGTTATAGACTGCAGATGAGATGTTTTTATTGTGTTTTCTGGCTTTTTTGCAGCCTAAGATCGAGTGGATGAAGAATCAGATGATTATTGGTGACGACCCCAAGTTCAGGCAAATAAACAACCAGGGCATCTGCTCCCTAGAGATCCGCAAGCCCGGCAACTTTGACGGTGGCGTCTACACCTGCAGGGCCAAGAACGAGCACGGAGAGGCCTTGGTTACCTGCAAACTGGAGGTTAAACGTGAGTGATTATCGTAGAATTGACTTGAGTGTGTTTTTAGGCTTTTGGTCTTTTTGAACATGCAGAAAAGAAATTGCAATCATGATGAGACTCGTTAAACTATAGTGGAATTTTAAGACTGATTTCAAAGCCTAGAAAAGTCATGAAAATTTCTATAGAGACTAAACGCTTAATCTAATTGTGCTCAACTCCATGATATTTCATGGGTTTGACTTATTCTTTAGGAGTGCAATGGCTGTGAAATCATTTTCTATAAGTAATTATGAATGACTAGAAGAGTTGTGGCATTTCATTGGTCTAAAAAGACTGAATTGAATTATGATCCATTAGCAGAGATGAATTAAAGGATTTAAATATTGCATATTTTATTGGGTTATGGGCAAAAAACAGGGAATGTACATTTAGATCTGCTCTTTGTAAGTGTAGATTTAGTCAAGGCCACTTTTAGATTAATTTAACATCATGCAGACATGTTTGACTGATGCATTTATGCATGAAATCAAGAACATTTTGCTGGTGCTGGAAAGAATTCTGTATGTTAGAAAATGTAATCGTGGATTCATGGACTAAATAAAAACAAATGGATTCCAGACACATGGAGTTTATATTTAGCATTGAAAGGCAAGTAGCTTAAGATAAATGCGTAAAATAGATGTCTAGGTCTATCAGATGATACTGTAATGATAGTCAGATGATCTTCAGTGTGTAATAAACAGGCTTGTATGATTGGGATCATTCCCATGCCGAGTTATCAAATGGAGCGTCGCTTTATTGATGTTTAATATCAGTGTAATCCATCCTAAGCTATGTTAATACAAATGCTTAACCCAATCCGAGACCTGTTTTTATCTTTGTCAGGTTATCACTCCACATGTCTTTACTGGGTCAGACAGATGTATTGTTAGTGTAAAATGATTTACAGTCTCTTGAAAGCAGAGAAGATGAACATGTCAGACAGAACAGAGTTCGCACATGTCTAAGATAAAACTCAAGTGTTGCTGGACGGTTAACATGCATGTTTGTTTGGGTGATAACTTCACAGACATTTTTCCCACACATAATGTTTTGAAAGCCAGTAGACTGAACTGCATTCTTGCTTTGGTTCCCGACAGAGCCTGTGATTGCTGATGCTGATAAGAAATAAGTTCAACACCCACATTCATACAGGTCAGTCTCTATTTTTAGATGTGTTCAGGGGTGTAAAGCTCCAGAGTAATTTGACTTCATCGCTGTACTTAAGAATTACACTACTGTTCAAAAGTTTGTGGCCAGGAAGTATTTTTTGAAAGAAAATAATACTTTCATTCAGTAAGGATGTAGAAAATTGATCAAAAGTGACAGTAAAGACGTACAATTCTATTTCAAATAAATGCTGTTCTTTTGAACTTTCTATTCATCTAAGGATCCTGAAATAAAATGCATCAGGGTTTACACAAAAATATGAAGCAGCACAACTGTTTTCAACATTGATAATAATCAGAAATGTTTCTTGAGCAGCAAATCAGCATATTATAATGATTTCTGAAGGATCATGTGACACTGAAGACTGGAGGAATGATGCTGGAAATTTAGCTGCAGATCACTGGAATAAATTACAGTTTATAATATATTCACATAGAAAACAGTTATTTTTAATTATAATAGTACTGTATTTTTAAGTAAATAAATACAACATTGGTGAGACTTTTGAACTCTTATTCATTTCCAAAGCAAAAAATTATTTTACTCCTTATTATATTTAGGCCTACAGCTAAGGCCTTATATATAATGTGGAAACTTTTTTCTTTTACTGAAGTTTGTTTTTGGCATTAGCAAATATTTAACAATTCCCTTACTATTTTTTTTTTCTCAAATATTAAAATGAAAGATTTAATATAGTTGGTTTTGCAAAGATGTAAGACATTTAATTGTATGTTGCA